TATTGCTCGGGCTCGGTGATGTCAGAACGCGTGTCGGGCCTGGCGGGTTCCATCTACCGCGAGTTCGAGCGCCTCATCCACTGCTACGACGAGGAGGTGGTCAAGGAGCTCATGCCCCTGGTGGTGAACGTGCTGGAGAACCTAGATTCGGTGTTGAGCGAGAACCAGGAGCACGAGGTGGAGCTGGAGCTGCTGCGCGAGGACAACGAGCAGCTGCTCACGCAGTACGAGCGCGAGAAGGCGCTGCGCAAGCAGGCAGAGGAGGTGCGCTGGCCAGGCGGGGGAACAGACGCGGGGCTGCCCCCTCCCCGCGCGCCCGGGACCTTGGTCGTGCTTCTGCCCTCTCGGAGTTTGATATTCCGCCGGTCAGAGAAGCGAGTTCCCCTAGATGATCTCCAAGCCCAGAAATTCTATTTTTCTGTCAGTGGGCGATGCCTTTTATGACAGGAGGTGTCTTCTTAAATGGGGTTAAATTCCTTTCCCGTGAAGTTGCGCTGAACATAGGCTTAGAGTCTTTACTATTGAAATTAAAAATTGTTTTGGCATTTGGCTCTTAAACTAGTGTAGTCGGTGCCCTCGTTTGGTTGAAAGTGTGTTTATCTTGAATCATTCCTACTTAATGTTTTTGCTTTTGCGTCTGGGGTGAGGTGAACCCGATAAAAGGGCACAAGAGCTCTCAGGGTTTGAGACAACAGAGTGACCAGAGACCTTTAGAGGGGAGGAAACTGGATCTGAGATATGGAGGGACTGGACCAAGAGCATATGCCCCAAAAGCATCAGTCCAGGACGCAGAGCAGACCCTCTTGCCTGGTTTGGCCTCTTCCTTCCTGGTCATACTGCTGCAGGGGGTTAGAGCATGGCTTCTCCTAAATCCTGTGCTGGGGTTCCCGTCGCCCAGTCATGGAGCCGTGACTGCCTCCCTTGTGCTGGGTACCACCCTCTGCTTCTCTGACCACTTGCTCTCTGGGGCCTTGTAGGACCTTTTAATGCCTGACAGAGGTTTCAGATGGGTTCCTTTTCCTTTGCATGTACCCATGTGATCATAATAGATGAGGAGGAACTTAAAGGAGACAATCGAGATAGATGGCTTTAAAGCTGAGTTGTAACCTTGTAGCTCTACCTCCATTAAGCATCTTGCTTTATACAGTGGCAGTGCAGCCTCTGCCCTCCCACTTACTTCAGGATGGACTAAGAATGGCAATGGTGTATTGAGATCTGCGGAAGATTGTTGCAGTGCCCAGATCCACCATTGCTGCAGCTCTGGAGAAGTTGTGAGTAGAGTTAGACCAGAAGAAGCTGAGGTTAAACGCTAATAGTATACCCTTGGAAAAACCTCAGGTGATGTTACAACTAAAGAAAAGGACTAAATACGGTAAACACTGGCTATTCTAACACTGTTATGGAGTCAAGTGGACATTTCACTTGCAGTTTTGTGGAAGCAGTGTGGGCTAGCTTCTCTTCCTAGGCAGAGACTCGTCATCATAGATGTGTGGTGCATGTGGACATCACAGGCTGTAGGCCTGTGATGGTGCAGAGCAGCTGGGTTGAGCTGTCAGTAGGCCCAGCCATTCTGCTTGATTAGGCTTAGTCAGACAAGGGTAACCTGAGCCGCCTGAAGCCTTCTGAGCTTGCAGAATCTGCAGTGGTATTGTGGTTTGTTTTTGTTTTTACCCTTGAACGAAGTAAAATCTTTATCCTCTTTATTTTCTGCCCAGCAGTAACCACAATGAGAGATTCCTGGGGTGTGAAACTGGGTGGCTGGTTCTCTGGGACTGGAGTCTACAGACACCAGGTTGAACACTAGCACTGTCTTCAGGAGTTCTACCCAGCCTTTTCTCAGGTCTAGGTCGCACTGACCACATTTGAAGGGAATGACTTGCTAAGATGAGGCAGATTAGTTCCATCTCAAGTGCTGAGAGCTACAGTTGACGGTTGCCTGGAAAATTGGAACAAGGTAAATTTAGTTATCAGGCCAGAACCCCTGGTCGGGTCAGGGTAGGCTAGCTCTGGATATCATTGCCTACAGGTTTGCTGGTTTCAGATTGAGCAAGTTTTGATTTAAAGTGCTTTAAATCCCTCTGTTCTTTCTCACTGGAAGAGAAGAGAATTGGAAAGGGGCAGCTCGCTGGCTGTCCTGGGGTCTGGTATCTCCAGGGAGGTCAAGTAGAGTGGCTGGATGTGTTGCGCTTGTTTGGGCAGCAGAGCCCTTTTCCTTCTAGTAATCAATATGTAGCTTAAAAGAAGAAAAAATGATGTTTGATGACAAGTAGCAGTGGTCATTATTTGCCGTAAAATCTCTTTGACCCCAAAATCTCCTACCCCTAGCAGCATCCATCAGCTTGTCTCAAGCAATATAGGTAGGTACTTTGTCCCCAGGATGTTTATGTGGATATTTGCTGATAATTCAGCATTTGATGCTGTTTAAGAAAAGGAACCAAATGGAGGAAAGTTTGATCCAAGACTTATTTTTTTCTTAGTTGGACAAAAGTAATTATAGAAGACTATTTGGACAGGATTAAGCTGGGAGCAAAAAGAAAAATATCTAAACACTGTAATCCTACTCTGTAGGGGTGATCTTTCATAAATGAATGAATCATTGGATCAGAAATTTTTGCTCTTATTTCCTATATTACAAATACTGAGTTGACCACTGCTTAGAGCCTGCAATTTCTTCTGCTGCCTTTCAACATGAAGAGCGGGGGTTTTGTTTGTTTGTTTGTTTTCCTGGCATACTTGTGCATGCTACCCAAACATTCTCCCACTGACCTACACCCTCAGCCCCTAATGAGCAGTTTTTAAACATTAATTTTTCTAGATGTTACTAGATGTTTCTAGATGCTATTTGTCATCTAGAAGCTGTTAAGAGGTAGTGACCAGAGCTGCCTTTCCTTGTTGCCTCTTAAAGTTGTTCCGTTGTAGCAGTACCAGTCAGTCACTCCAGCACACACCACACACACACCCCGTGCTGGGAACTGAACACAGGGCCTCATGCATGCACTGAGCTACATCCCTAGCCTCAAACAGTCACTCTAAAAAATGGAAGCAAATAAGTTCAGACAACCTCAGCAAAAGGAGGTGCTTCTCAGCCAGAAAGAATATGGGGAGGCCAGTTGGGACCCAGAAACCTCTGGGTTGGAACTGGCCACTGTGAAATCTTGTTGTGACAGGTCCTCTCTGATCCACTGTGGTAGCTGGTAGATCGTGGCTCCAAGAACTGATAAAAGTCAGTTCCTCCACACTGAAGATTTCTAAATCCAGCATCTTTTTTTTTTTTTTTTAAGTCTTTCAAAACTATGGATTTTTTTGTGTGGGGTGATGTTTGCTTGCAGTGCTGGGGATAGAGCACAGGGTTTTCTTTGCACATACTAATCACATAATCTACCACAGAGCTATCACCCCAAATTTTGTATTAAAATAATGTACAGAAAAGTTACAAAACTAGTACTCTTCACTTGGATTCCTAGATGTGAATCTTTCTGTGTTGCTTTTCTCTCTTAACTCTGCTAAGACCTCAGGGGTCCTGTGTGTCCCTGTAGTTGCCAGTATTCTAGAATGGTTCCTCATACTCTGCTCTTCTCAACCTTGATGTGTGACAGCTGAGGTCAGTCACTCTGCAAGATGTGCCCTAATCTAGCATTTGTGTAACCTGATGATAAGATTTGTCATCATAGGAAGACCCAGAGCTGTTCACTGAGCCTATAACATCTTGACCAGGTACAAGACATAAGATGTCTCCTTTTCGTCACGTTTCCATGTGCTGTTAGGGAGGAAGAGACCTGGGCTTCACTTCCTCCCCAGTGTGTGCTGATCCCACTGTCTAGACCCCTGCAGGGGGTTTACTCATCCAGTTCCTGTGCTCAGACACCCTAGCCTGACTGTACTCTGAAGAGAGTGTGAATAACCCTAATTATTCCCCTGCACTATTTTCTCATGCAGCTTCCCCAAGTTAAGTTACAAAGGGACTGTATGTATATCTGGTTGGTGCAGCCCCAGTTTTGTTTGTTGCTGCAAACTATAGAGAAGCTTCCCATGTTCCTTCCTCTGTGCACATCTTGCTGCACTGACACTTCACTTCCTGGAGGTTAAGGCTGATTTCTTTGGAGCAGTTCTTGTGTCAAGTAAACTTTTTGTGGTAATGGACATTCCCCATTTTGTGTTTTCTGATTCGGTAGCTACTGGCCACTGGAAGCCTTTAAGTACTTCCAGGTATGACTCATGAAATTGAAGAACAGGGTTTTCATTTGTTTGCTTTTTTCCCTTCAGTGTTGGGGATAAAACCCAAGGCCGTATGCACATGAGACAAACATTCTATCACTGAGCCACACCCCCAACCTTTTGTTTGTTTGTTTGCTTGTTATTTTGGTGCCAGGGATCGAACTCTGGCCCTTGCCATTGCAAGGCAGGGGACAGAACCGCTGAGCCAAATCCCCAGCCCCCTATTTTTCCTTTTAATTAGTATTGAAACAGCTACATTAGGCTAGAGTGACAGTTCTAAACAGTCCATCTGTGGACTTTGTTTTAATAAGGGCCAGCATGTATTTCTAAGTAGCTTTAGGAAGGAAAGGAGATGCTTAAATGGTAGGTTTGGGGTTTTTCCCTGAATGTGTTCCAGAAAGAGGGAAGATCCTAAAGCATTGGGTTTCTGTTATAGGAAACCAAGCAGAAGAAAATAATATGGGATGGGAAAGGAGGTGCTAGCTGTCTAGGAAACAGCAGGAAGGTGATGAAATTCTCACAGGGCTGAGAAGAGTCTGCTGGGAAATCCCTGGCACCTAGAAATAATCCGTGCTGATGGGCACAGGATTGATTTTTTCCTTTTATGGAAGGTAGATAATTTTATTGAGGTATCATTGACATACACTGTGCTAAACTACGCATGTTTAGTGTACAGTTTGATGTAAACCCCTGAAACTATCCCCCACAGTGAGGGCAGTGAAGGTGCCCTCCGCCCTGGAGTTCCCTTTTGTGATTCCATCCTCTACCTCTCTGCCTCCCCCATCCCCAAGTGATGACTGATCTGCTTTCTGCCTCTGGGGGTTAATTTTCTAGAACTTTATAAAGATGAAATTGTGCAGTATATACCCTTCTTTTTTTGTCCAGTATCTTTCATTTGGCTTTTTTTTTTGTACCGGGAATTGAACTCTGGACCTTGCGCTTGCGAAGCAGGCAGCAGCACCACTGAGCCAAATCCCCGCCCTCATTTGCTTCTTGACTTTGAGATTTTTCCAGCTGTTGGGTGCATCTTCCTTCCTTTCTGAGCAGCA